TCTTCGGTAGTTCAGACGGCCAATTATTGTTTAGGAGTCCGGCCTTAAAAAAAGAATCCGAATGTCAAGGCATCCCTCACTCACCGCACCAAGACCTCACAACCCAAATAGCAGAGTCGCCATTCCCTCGGCAATGGCTGCAGGGACGGGAAGCCAGCAGAAGTAGTCCTGCCAGCGTGGTCACGTTGCCACCCTAGCCAGAAATCTCGGCATTGCGAGCCAAAACGAGGCAGTTTTTTGGGGCAGCTTGGGGCTACCAAGTAGGATGCACCGCCAGGTGCAAGCTGCAAGAAGTTTCGCCTACGGCCTCGCAAGTACGCGCACACTTTGATCCTGAATCGCCTAGAAGTTTCAGTCCTCGAAATGAATAGGTGGTACCAAGGGCGGCTTGTTCTTCCAGAACTTCGAGGTTTCAGCGCAGCTCGGGCAAACCTGGGGGTGAGAACGAAATGGTTCACCAGATCAAGCATGCCGTCTGAACCCTCAAACCCTCCAGATGAACCCGGCAGAACAAAAACTTCAGATTTCTCGCTGCAAACCCCTGCCTTGGCTAACGTTCTTCGCAGCATGCTCCGACGATTCTCGCACAACCTGGAAGGTGCGGAGATTGGGCTACGGATGTCTGGAACGCATGCTTGGGGTAGGATAGGGCGCCCTTCACTTCGGTGTGGGCCCTTGATCCTCATGGCCCAGCCAAAACAATGGTTGTTGGTTGCTTCAAAGTCTAAGTTCGAGCCGATGTGGAGGGTCCGGGTCTGACAACTCAATACGAGTACCTAGCTGCCACGGCTCGATATTTAGGAATTTCGGACTGCACCAAAAGGTCTCGGGTGTGGGCCATCCATAGACAGGTGGACCGCGCATGCATGCAGTGGCTGAAAGATACGTTTCTCTGCACCTGTGGGCAGAACTGCCAGTATCGATTGCGCTTGAAACCTTAACCGTAGATGCATGGAACCAGCGCCCCAACAGTCTTCCAAGAAGCACCACAAAGCCTTGCACGCCCCAAGCCCGCAAAGAATGCAAAATCAAGCGCAACGCTCGGCGAGAACTAGCTAATAAACCCTAAACCCTAAACCCTAAAACCCAAAACCCAAAACCCTAAAACCCTAAAACCCTAAAACCCTAAAACCCTAAAACCCTAAAACCCTAAAACCCTAAAACCCTAAAACCCTAAAACCCTAAAACCCTAAAACCCTAAAACCCTAAACCCTAACCCACCTCCGAGTGGCTCAACGGCCAGCTGAGCACCCACCTCCAGCTCATGTAGCTGTTGCAACAGGTTGATGTCCTTCGCAAAATGAGAAGGGTTTGGGGGGCATTTGGGTGCTTTGAGTAAGTTTTGAGTGCTTTGACTCCTCGTTTTGGGGGGTTCTGAGGATTTGTGGGTCTTGTGGGATTTGGGGCTTGTCGTTGCTTGAAGGACATTTCAATTGCTACCCACATCGCGCACGCCAGGGCGCCACCCCGCAGGGACTGGACGAGGGTTTCACTGGATACTCGGCTGATCAGCCCGCTCTTCCCCGCACTCGTTGCCCTGTGCCTTGAGGCGAACATATCCGGAACACATTTCGCCCAGGAGCCCGCTGCAAATTCACAGACACGTCTTCATGCAAAGGACCGTGCGGTCCACGCATCACACCGCCACAGCCCCGTAGACACACCAACCGTCAGCAGGCCTCTTATGCCATAGGGTATATATTTCTTGTACCCCAAAAGGACACCAGGTATATACTCTCACCAATATTGAAAAGGAACCTTATATACACTCACCAATAACAGCAATATAAGCCCTGTTTCACATGGATCCCCTCTGCAACCTTTCGAGCCCGGTCCGTGTCGTCATCGCCAACGGGGTTCTCCATCATCTCTGCCAGCCGCTCGAGGCCAGACATCGCCTCGCTTGGGGTTAAGGGTTAAGGGTTAAGGGTTCAATGTTCAGGGTTAAGGATTGAGGGTTTAAGGGTTTGAGGGTTTAAGGGTTTAAGGGTTTAAGGGTTTAAGGGTTTAGCCCCACTTGTGTCGGTGGAAGGCTGAGGGCTTAAGAGGATGTGGGATTTGGGTATGGGTGGGGGCTTTGGGTTTCGAGATGTGCTGTTCAACAGTGGTGGCTTCCGCGAAGAAGCTGCATTCCTCGAGTCAGCATGGCTTCATAAGCTAGACGGAAGGATCGGCTAAAATGGCTAAAGCAAAGGATCTAGGCTTGCAGCTGGCTCAGCCGATTCAACCCGGCGGCCCAATAGATCACAAATGGGAAGACGATGTTGTCAAAAATGCTGCCAACCAAGTCCTGGAGGGTCGCTGGGACGCTCTGCTGCACTATGCGAAATCGGCAAAGGAGCTACAGCGAAGCCACTACATTGTAATCACTACATGCCACATGCCTGGGTGGCTGCCTTCCTTCGGCGGAAAAGGGCAATGCCCGGGCATTCTAGAAGCTTCGTTTCTGGGCTCACAGCTTGGTTATGCGAAAGTTTTTGCTGCGCCGTGAAAAACACAGGATCTTGCGACGGTTCCTGCATCTCTCCTGCCTATCTTAGCTCCTCGATGGGTGGGGTTCGTGTTGCAAATGCAGACACCACCCTTTCAACGCGGAAACAGGCTTGAGTCCTCGCCCACTTCTGTGACCAGCGGCAGCATGAAACTGAAGATTACCACGATGACTCGGCAGTGCTGATAGTAGGCCAGGGACACCGGTCGCGCGATGAGGCCCGACCTTAGGATTGATTCACGTGCATCGCAGGCAGGCAGCGAGATCTGCAAGCCATACTCACCCTACTCCTCGAGCAACTCATGCAGCTCTGCAACATGATTGGGTTCAGCCGCCAACCCCCAAAAAAAAACCTCTCAGCCTCTCTCCTGCCGGCCGGGGGGCAGGTGTGTCAACTGATCCAAGGCATCAGCAGAGATACTGGCAATGAGGTTGAGCACTCGCTCCGGGTAGCCCCACTTCTGGGCCAAGGGTGTATGGCAGACCTCAACAAGCCTGGGCAATTCAAGCATGACTCTTGGGACATGGAACCTGCTTAACTGTGGGTACTATTCTATAAATCTATAAACGCAACTAGGGGCATGCTGAGCACCACCTTGGGCAAAGGTGGGATGATGTCGCTGCTCTGCGGCACGAACTTGCAATCCTCTTCATCGTTGTTCCCCGCCTGGAACGGTCATGTGTTGTGGTGCTACATGCCGCACATGCCGCAGCACAGGTATCCAGTGATGCCTTGTCAGGGCCTACTCCCTAGCGCCTTTGCCAGAATCTCACAGCTGCCGACCACAGCCATTCAAATCAAGGCCCAAAAGCGTTTAAAGCAACCAAAATCTCGCACCTTCCGCGGCCGCATGAGCAGCCCGGCACATTGTGCGGCAATGCGAAAGCGGCCAGTTTCAGCCCGGTACTCCGCCTGCTTGGATGCTTTCTTGGCATTCGATCTTCTTCTCTCTCTATCTCTCTCACTCGGGCTCTCTCTCTTTTTGCTGGGGGCTTCTGTGGGGAAAGCTATCTGGCATGTTTGGGGACCAAGATGTTAGGGGAATGCATTGCGAAGCCTCCTCGCTCGGACATGACTGTTCAGTGTCGAGGATTTCAGGATGGATTTCAGGATTTGCGCCTCCGTGTCCCCATCGGTCTCGCGGGATATGCCCATGTATTGGTCCACAAGCTCCATTTCCTCCTCGTAGAGCAAGGCCTGCAGACGGCTGTGCAGAAAAACGATCTGCACGAGGTCCTCCTCTTCAAGGACTCCCTGCGCATCTGCCTCACAGTTCCGAGGCTTTTGAGCTTTTCAGGAGAAGGCTACTACAATACTTAAAATGGCAGACGATTGCCCCGTTGGCGACGGGCAAATATACATTTACTTGCAAGGAAAAACGTTCTTGATGGCCCTCTGAGCTGCCAGGGCAGTGAGGACACGAAAGTACAGGAGGCAGCTGACGCCGAAGGCGATTGTGAGCCGCACCACGTGGATGCGGACCATGCTGGCAAGCTCCCCATGAAGCCTTGGCGACCCCAGCAGAACACAGCGAAACAGCCCCCAAAAGGACTATGACTGTCACACTGGTCCATTACATAACACTGGTATTCGCCCCGAGCGGTTCCGGTGTTTGTAACTTTTCCTGAGCTCCGACGAATTCCGAGGAGCTTCATGACCCTGATCTCCTCCTCTGACCGCACCCGGTGCGGGTTGAGCACAAGGTCATGCCTGGTGACTGGGCCACCGGTCAGCCTACTTGTGTTTGCGATGCTAGAACTCAGGACTAAAGCGGCTAAAGCTAAGGGCATGCAACTTCCCAAGAACATCCAGGATGCAAGAGATCCTCCTTCGCACCTTGCATGAAGCTGCAGACTGAATGGATCAAGAAGTCCAGCTCTCCGAACATCTCGTCCGTCCTCTCCGTTGCCTCGTTGTTCCGGGCCATGGACTGGTTCATGCGGAAGACCAACAGGAACACGGTCAAGCTGCCCAGCATTGAAAGCCCACTTGTAGAGGATTCGACCCTCATAAAGCTCCATCTGGATTGGGCGTAGAAAAGGGCTACCAGGAACATCAAATAGAGCACGGAGTTCAGGATCAGATGCCTGTTGATGCCCCCCCACCAATACAGGAGCGTCTGAAAGGCACCTTTCGTGTAGCGGATCATGGCTGCGCGCTTGCACCAAGGCTCCTACTCAGTCCTACGGTCTTCGGTTGCTGTGCTGAACTTGGCATGGCATGCCCTTTGAAGCTCATCCTGTCACGCTGCAAAACAACTGAAGCCACAACTCGTAAACAAACTGGCCGACCTCTGAGCCAAATCAATGTGGCAGTGTGATTGTAAAGTTGTGCCGTTGTGCCTTCTTCCTTCCACAGTGTACTGACGAACCGAAAAGCCCCATGTGCTAGAGTCTGTTCCACTTTCAAACCACGAAGTCCAGAAGTCATAGCGCCTGTTGAGCCCAGGATAAAATTCTAAACTTAGGACCCCGTGGGCTTCGAAAGTCTTGCATCTGGGGCTGACGCTTGTCGCAGGGATCCGGACCCTGGATGAAGCCTTGGAATTTTTGGGGGGGCTTCTCTGCAGGTGGAGATTTGGGGCTAAGGTGTATGAGGGCGACACTACAGTCCGACTGAGGGTCAGCAAAATATCTCTATGTTTCAGGTCGCCCGAAGAGAGGCGTCATGAAGGGCCGCAGCAAAAAAAGGCTGCATGCGAATCCAGTAGTAGTAGTAGTAGTAGTAGTAGTAGTAGTAGTAGTAGTAGTAGTAGTAGTAGTAGTAGTAGCAGTAGTAGTAGTAGTAGTAGTAGTAGTAGTAGTCGTCGTCTGTGTTCTTCTGTATGTCGGTCGTCGATTCTGTCCTCCCTAAAGACCAACATCTGAGAGACCATAATTAGGGCTGAGAGGGAGAAGAGAAGGCCGTTTCACTAGTCTGTTCAAGTTATTTCTCGTCTTGCGGCCCACTGGGCAAGTTAGATGTTTGAGTCGCTCCGACTAACTCTGTACAGTGCCGTTGCTGGCTTCTCCCCTTTCCCGTCCTTGTTGGGTTTGGTGGGTGTTGGGTGCCGCAGTGTCTTTTTTGGAGGAGCTGACTAGCCATTTTGCGCGTTTCACGCCTGACCTGCTGAGAATAGCTCACTGAGGTACTGACGTGCTAATGGAGCCTACCAGCAAAGCCCCCAAAAACACAGTTAGTTGCAGGAAATAGAACCTTTAACAAGGTCTTTGTGCAACAGGCCTGTGAGTAATCCGATGGACATGCAACTATGCAGGCAAAAACCAAGCCAGCCATGAACACAAGGCAGCACAAGCAGATTTGACAGGTGCTGATCTGATTTGAACTGGTTTGACAAAAAAACATCTCGAAGTTTTCCAAGCATCCTTTTCAGCTGGGGGGCCCCAATCACTCAGCCCCACAACGACGTCGATGTCTCTCTTCCAAGCTCCATCCAGGAAGGAGCGGTGGCTGTAGTTCCTCTTCAGCCGCCATGAGCAAAGCAGCTCGGTCAAAGGTGGGTAGCCATTTTAGCCGGATAGCCTGAGGTAGCTCATTCGTCTTGAGCGACTTGCCTGTACAAAGCCTAGATCCATAATCCCAACGAGGATCCAACCAATGCTCTCAGTAAACCGCAAAGACGTGAACCCTACACAACCGCCCCTTCCAGCTCACAGCCGAAGCGCAAGTCGTTGCCGTACATCCGGAGCCTCACGACATGCGCAGCACTCGGAGAAAGGGTTCTCAAATGGTCTCGCAAGGGTTGCAATGCTGTTTTAGAGGCAAGGAGCGTGTTCACCCCCATGGACTCCAGGAGATCCAAGTCTCCGCGTCCCCAGCTATCCCACATGGCTCCAGTGATGTCCTTGGCATACCAGCTCCCTTTTGACTTCACTTCTTGTCGCCAGTGGCACTTTAAAGGGTTTAGCAGGGTCTCGAGGGGGCCTGATGCTCCGCGGGCCAACGCGGGACGAAATTTTTTGGGGGGACTCTTCGGGGGTCTCTTGTGACGAAGTGTCCCTCCCACTAGAACTCTGAACCCTCAGCCTCAAGCCGCCTGAGAGGCTGGCTGTCATGAAATCGTCATCGTTGAGCCGAGTGGTTGTGGTCTTCAGAGGTGACCTCACTGCGGGATAGTGGGATTGCGGCACACTAGTAGTAGTAGTAGTAGTAGTAGTAGTAGTAGTAGTAGTAGTAGTAGTAGTAGTAGTAGTAGTAGTAGTAGTAGTAGTTTAAGGCTTTGCTGAATAAGTTGCTAAGGCTCAAGGGCTTCGTCAACATGAACAAGGGCCAGGGCTGAGGGCTGCAGGCTCTTCTCAAAACGCTGGCCCAGCAATTGTTCCTTCACCCTAAACCCTAAAGCCCTAAACCCTCACAGCACAGACGAGTCGGACGATGCAGCTCGGGGCATGCAGCAGTTGCGGGCTTCTTAGATCTTCTTAGGGTCAGGCTGTTAAACTCCGGCCAACCGCCATGCATCGAAACGGCTCCAACTTGTGGACACCCAGCAACTTCCATTAATGGAGCCTTTGTTGGTTTAGGATCGGAAGCTGCTTCATCCCCTGAGCCCCAGACGCGCCGTAGGACACGCCCTTCATGGCATACTGATGGGAGGACCGGTACGTGGGCACCGAGTACGCATCGTACCTGTTTGTGGCTCAGACGGGGTTCACCGTACAGTGTGAATGTGCTTGAAAGAGGGGAAGATTTTCAAAGATCTGCATTGGTTTTGCCAGGAGATCCTTACTGCTGGCAAAGATTTCCCACCCTCAGTATTTATGCTAAGGACCCATCCGTTTACAAGCATCCAGTGTGCCAGGCCTCAACATGCATGGCTGCGGGCACAGCGTTGCATTCATCAGGTGCCTAAGCTTGTGCATAAGGCAGCACCGCCCACATCAACCGACACGAACCCGAAACTCGGCTCTTGCGCGAGCTTACGTGGCAAATCCGAGGCGCTGATGGGCTTGGAACTCCTCAAAGCTGGAGGCTCCGGCCTGAAGCTCCGCCCACCACTCCGGATGCTCCTTGGATCTTTATGAGATTTTCTTTGCCTGTTTGGCGGCTTGGGCCTGGTTTGGCGTGTGGTGTGTAGCATGTAGGAGCAGATGTGGCAAGCCCATGACGTCTTGTCACAAAGGGCAGGTTCTTGTCAATGAAAGTCCACCGCGATTTGAGAGACTTGCCCATCCCGGCGCCCTAATTCCCTTTTGCTACTTTATTCAACACACATCTTGATGTGAGGGGCACAATAATCACCTGCATCTCAGTGCGAAACTGCGGGGCCAAATGCACGTAAACACCCGCACCACACCGCAAACCTAAGCACAAAGGCCACCCAGGTGCGTAGATCCCATCGCTCATTGCCTCGACTGCACTCATGGCACGTACACACACTAACTACACCAGAACCAGGCAAGATTCTGAAGAGCAGCTACGAAAGCTCGCCGTGGCAGGCACCGGGTCGACCGGCCGAAGCAGGAACAGGAGTGCAACGCACGTCCAGGCAGATCTGAAGGTTGTCATATGCAAAGGAAGGAACTCTTGTTCTTCCGAAAGCGGCCCAGTGACTCACGGACAAGATTTGAAACGAAAGCAAGCTGCTAAGATGGCTAGCTTTCGTCATCTGCATAAAGACATGCAATACAAATAAGCACCTTGAACTCCCACACTGTCCCACACCCCTACCCCGAGGCAACTTGTCGGTCGGGGTGCCCAGCTCACAGCTGTCCAACACTCATCGCCGCGCGCAGCAGTCTCACATTTCATGGTCTTGTCCTCTGCTGTTGGGAAACCGATCTTCCAGCGCACCCGGCTTCCTAATTGAGTTCAGGGATGTTCTGCGAAGATTTGGGGGCCTGCTTGGGCTGCTTGGCTGCTCTTTGAGCTTGTTCTGCGCGCCGAGGCACGATTTTGCCGCTGCCGTTGATCCAAGCCTCCTTGGTAGTTCGAACGATCCCGTCCACAGTCTCAGCCCAGTTCTCGTGACCTGGCAGCCCACGAGGAACGCCCGCTACAGCAACCCTACATCCGCCCCGATCCCTAAGTTTGCTTGAAGCCCTGAGTTTAAACCCCCAGCCCCAAGCCCTGAACCTTATATCTTCCAGACTCCAGTCCCGCCTTCTTCCGTCTCTTCCGCTTTGGCCGCGGCTGCGGGGGGAGTCGGCTGCGGAAGCACTGCCGGTACTGCCGATGCGGCGGGAGCCTCCGGATCCTTGCTGGCAGGCAGGGGCCTCAGAGAAGCGTCATTCTCCATCCCCGTGCCAACAAGTATCCCCTTGGCATGAGCCGAGCTTTATCCCCAGGTCCCCAAAACTATGAGACAAGTCCCAGCTGAGTATGGCGCTCGGGGACAGTGGCCAGAGGCGGCTCTGTTGGTGCCTTCAGGCAAGCAGCGGGGCTTGGGAATCTCGTTCTCAGATGCTGAGTCCACAGCTTCAACAGACATCCGAGCACTATCCTTCGTGCCCTCAACAAGCCCAGCGCCTCGCGCAGAATGCAGGTGGCTTTGAAATCGGAGCCTCGGCCCGGGCTCTACTGCTGTGAGGGGGCGGGGCTCAGTCCTGCCGAAACGCGTTTCGACATCACTCTCTTTCACACACAATGCGTGATTGGCGCGATTCTCACCCACGCGAGAACCTGGAATCTGAGAGGTCCCGCACCCTGAGCCTCAGGCAGCAGTTGCCAAAATCCGCGCACTTTGGCGTGCACCTCGAATTTGGGAATGTCTAGGGGCACGCCTGCAATTAGGCAAGGTTTGGGTTGGAAAGCCAAGTGTGAGGATGTAGGTCAGGTGCATGCTGCATGCAGCGTTCATGCAACATGTCTTGGGACATGATTGCACAACAGGTGCACAGGGAGGATTGAGGTATGCTCTCGGGTTCTTGTTTCCTGTGGTTTTCAAGCCGAATTTTGGATGCATCCGTGCGGGGCTTCGGGTCGTCTGGCACAGGCACCCTGCAAGATGCAGGGGCCGAATCTTTGGAACAGGCACCTATACCTCACCCCGACTTCACATTCGTGTCCCTGCATCCCAGAGCTTCAATCCAGCCCAAAGCCCTGAACATCTTGCTGCTGAAGCAGCTGGCAAGGATGGTCGTGAACGTACGCTGTCCCGCACCCGAAGTTGGCGCAAGACGGAGTGGGCGACGAAGCTGGCGTCGCCTGCATGAGCTGGGCATGTGAAGGTCTTGGGACCCATGCATGTTTCAGCATCCACGATCGCAAGTTCAAGCCCCTGATCCGAAAGCATGCGCCCGCAACGTTACACCGACAACACATGGTTCACACCACCCACCTGACCTAACAAAACGAAGAAGTCAAGAACTGCGGAAAATGATGCTCCATCGATAGTCATGGCATTAAAGCTGAGGCACCAAAAGGCACCAGACCATGATATCTTTGGTGGGAGGCACGAATCTGCCTGTGCAGAACGTGGCGCGCACGTCGCCTTGTAGTCACCACCTAGGCCACCAGCTTGACTAGCACCAAGCGTTTAGGATTACCCATGATTACCCGATATCCTTCAATGCTGCATGCTTTCCGGAAGAAGTCAACAATTCTGTCCTGCAGCTTGTGTGCACTGGCATGCATGCTTTCCTGCGCACCATGGAGCTGGTACATGTCCGTTCCAATGCATCTGTCTGTGCGCGCGCTGACGCGCAGTGTGCTACGGTCTTGTTGCTTGGCTTGCCATGCTGAACAAGGCAGTGCCTTACCTGAGACACCTGCTTAAAGCTCACAGCTTATGAGCCCACTCTTCCATCCCGGCCGGCTTCGTAGCCCCTTGCACTTTGAAGCGAAGAAGCTGGTCGTCACTTAGGTGAGCTTAAAGGCTTAGAACTAAAGTTGAGGGCTCACGTTGGCACAACAGGGTTTAGGGTGCGGGCTGGGATAGGGGGCGGAGTATTTGGGCATTAGCTTTGGCGGCCTAATCCTTGCTGACATGTCTTGAGCAACTGGCAGCAGTTTCCGAAGCGGATGCATTCCGGAGTGCACCTTAGATTGGCGCCAGCAGCTTACAGGAGCTTAAGAAATTTGAGCTTGCAACATCGAAGATTACGAGTCTAAAGCAGAGGCCAGCTTCGTGCAACTTGGGTCTCGAAATCCTCGAGTAGATTTCTCGAACCAGTTGTGTGCAGAACGTTTGGGGTTTCGTGGTGCAGTCGCGAGGACTATCCATTTCGGTTCATGCACACGAGTGTCGTTCCACAAGCCCACTGAACGGGGCCAGCGACCAGAACTTAGCGTGGCAAATCTGGGGCATCGCATGACAATAAATGTGTGCCTTCGTTAAATTCGTGGATTCGGGGAAAACGACTCCCCAATCACCCCGAACCCATGCGATCTCCAACTTTGCAGAGAGGCTGGCATGGATGGCCACTCACATAACTCTGGCCACAGCCATACTTGGCGCAAGTGGGGGCCTGCCAGGCGACGATGGGATTGAGGGTGTGGGAAGCATGGCCAGGCATGACAGGACTTCAGTACTTTTTCTGCCCAGTTCAATTTTTCTTGCGTAGGATGCCTCAAAGATTCTCTGCAAGGCCATGGAAGCTGCCGCCACTTGTTGGCAAACACGATGCCCGCACGACGGGTTGAGCAAGGATGCGAAAATGGTTTTGAAGCTCTTGTTGCTGGGAGGAAGTCTTTATGGCAAGCTCCGCGAGGCTCTCTTTTTTTACAGCTATGTGCGAACACGATGCTCTTATGAAGGGTTTGAAGAAGATGCATCATATGGGGTTTGAAACAAGACAAGTCCTGTTGAAGGCAGAAGATCCTTCAAAGCAAGCCTGCGTTTGCCTTGTTTTCCGCGCCACCCTACCACCTGCATAGCTGAACGAACTTCCTCTTCACAGGGAACAGGCATTCAATCTGAAAAAGAACTGGTTACTTCCCTTGACTCTGAGCAACGCATTGTGTCAGTCAGTGTTCAATCACTTCTCAGCTCTCTTGGCCTGCTTTTTTTCATTTTTTCCACCCGCATACCTGAACTGACGTCCACAGGTTAGGGTGGGTTTTTTTGCATTTTAGGAGCTTCGGGGTTCAAAAGCGCGGCTGCACTTTTGCCTCTGTCCCTCATGTATTCTGTGCATTTTTGCGCCTTTCTTCTTCGCACTCGCACTTGCACACGTGCTCGCAATCTCACTCGCGCTCGCACCCTCACTCTCACTCTCTCTGTCTCTCTCTCTCTCTCTGTCTTTCTTGCTTTCTTTCTTTCTAGGGGCTTGGGGTCTCTCTCTCTCTCTCTCTCTTTCCTGTCTTTGTATTTCTTTCTTTCTTGCCTTCTCTTCCTCCTACATTCTTTCCTGCTTTCTGTCTGTCTTACCTTCCCCCCAAAAGGAGCCAATAAACCGGAATTGGGTCCCCTCCAAGGTGCCTCCTCATGCTCTGTGATGTCTTCGTCGTCGCTGTCCTCTCATGCTTGTGGATTGGCTCCAGCACGGCCCAATGGACGCACAGCAACTTAGGTCGATGTTTATGCACAACCTTGGACTGGACTGGACATTTCGCTGGCAATGCCCCAAGAGAACCTTGGTGCGTCCAAGGCCACTCCTGATCCAAACCCAGACGCTTCCCACGCAGCTGCCGGAGAGACACGTCGCAGTCACCTTGTGTGCTTGCAGGTCCCGCTGCTACTCAACGAATGGCGCAAAGAGAAGTTGCAAAAGCTAGTTGCAGTTGTAGTTGAACCCGGTTCGCGCTTGTACTTCTATAGAAGCAGTGGTCTATAACTTCCTAAAGGTCCCAAGCCTAGGACGCCTGAGACGACAGCCACCACAGAATAGCGCTGGGATTTGGCTTCTGAGCTTGTTGCCCAACTGCGACTGCCAGAAAGCTATGCAGCCCGCAGCCTGGACCCTCAAGACCTGAAACAACAGAAGCCCTCACCCCCCCCCCCCCCACACCTGAGTCGCACGTCTCGGCAACGAGGGCATCATCCAAAACAGCCGAGGGGACCTCGCCCTGAGCAAAGCTGTAGGCTTGAAGGTTCGGGGTCGTTGGGCTTCAAGGGTTCAAAGGGCTCAAAGGTCCAAATCCTTTGTAAAGCCCTACAAGGTGCTTCCCCACATGCAGGTTTTTTTGTGCACGAATGATGGGTGTCCTGCGCTTCGTTCTTCTGAAACCATTGAGGCAAACCCTACCACTCCCGAACATAAATTTTCAAAAAATGCGTGCTGCTGCCAATCAGCAGTGCAGATTGCGCAACTGGCCAAGCATAGTGTCGTCCAACGCAGCGGCCACATACCTGAGTCGAGCGATGCAGAAACGAGTTCAACGCTCGGCAAAACCAGAAAGTATCGAAACAGCACCTTCCAGCGCAGCAGCCTTCCATTTCTTGCCAAATCGGGCTCTTAAAGCCTTTGGTTGCTACCTTCTCTACGACCGGGTTATCCCGTGACGTGGAACCTCCGAAGAACGAAGTGCCTCGTGTCCTTCTCAGCAGGCCCTTTTGAGCAATGGACTTCTAAAGCAAAGAGTTCAGGATGCACCATGCCATGTTGGAGGTCGCCTACGACATGCTATGGGCCACATGACCCTTCTACTACAAGTCCATTGGGTGCGGGGGCACCCAGGTTGTGCTTACAAGCCCCAGGTTCCAGCACTTCTGCGGCCCAGGAGCTGCGCGAAACGAAGAGAAGCTTTTTGCAGGATGGAGGAAATGTCTTGAGCCGGTTGTCAGTGGGGGCAAGTATCTTTCAAGGTTTCTTTACAATGCCTGGCTTCTCTTGAACCTGTTTAGAGGGGGGGCTCACTGAACTTTGCATCGATGACCCCTCACAACTAACATCCAAATTCCTAGCGCCCAAAAGGGGGGCTTCGGAGGATGGGTGGATACAGGGACGGGGATATGTTTCCCCAGCTGCCTGGGCGGCGAACTTGATACTCGACACTGCCCGTGTTCGCATTCAAGTCAAGAAAAATTTTACGGGGAGGGGTACGACACCAGTTCGTCAGAGGGCATCGAGTCAAAGTCTGAAGAGCAGTGAGTCTGACGAAATGGTCTTGGGAAGGTAAACTTTTCTGGGCCTCGGGGTTCTGGCCTCAAACCTTACTGAGCAAACCTTAAAAGCTTGAAGCGCCTGGAGAAAGTCTCAAAGCACCTGGGAAGCCCTCAGCCCCAAGGGCCAAGCACTGAGAATGAGCCCCCTGCATCTTTAAGCTCCACAGTTCTGAGGCTGGGTCCCTCAGGGTGTGCATTGGGGCAGTCGCGCTTCTTGCACTTTCGGCTAAAGCGGCAAGGCCTTGGCCATC